GCGGTTCTAATATAAATCATATTCACATGACTAGTTTGGTAAAATGACTAAAATTAGGAAACTTATGACTAGATAGATTGTTTTGTTTTCAGATTTAATATGCATTTAATAAGTTTTCAGACCGCCACATGGTGTGGAACTCCTAAAACATACGTCAGTAGGTGCCTGTAATCTGTGGCATTCAGACTCAAGAGTTGCTGTCAAGAGCATTTTCCCTATAGAAATAGTGAAACAGATACAAGTACATCCATTGTGCACGAGTATGCACACCCTTTACTTACTCTCAGGACAAGATCTTTAACCCCTAAAATAAAGTTGGACAAAGGAATCACTGCAGCTTGAAATTCTGTTTTCATAGAGAAGAGCAAAATTTACTTTTTAACTAGGATTCCTCATGTCCAAAGGTATCCATCCCCAACTTATTTGCAAAGCATTATGTACTGGTTGTACCATATTTGTAAATTTGGCAGCAAATATGCATTCAGCAACAACCCACACACCATGTTGGTTTTATGGATAGAGGAAAGGTTGGCCAGGAGGGATATGAGAATTATCTTCTGGTTAAGAACCAAAATATTGTGAGCTCTTTGAGTCAACCCAGTTACTATGACTGCAATAATACCTGCAGCAGTGCAGCCTTCTGCCCCAGCTGTTCTGTTCTACAACACAAGGTGTGACTCTCGGTTCAAATGCAGTATATGATTAGAGAATAGACTACCAAGTGAATCACACACCAACATATATATGGTATATGATGTAATAAAGTTTCTGGAGGGAAAATAGAGTAGGTGAAAAGATTATTCATTTCAGACCATGCTCTTTACTCCCTCAGGAAACTGATACACAGTTACCAAACACCATGAAAACTTTTTGATGACTAATTTTTTTTCACACCCGTTCCTCTCTCCCTTTTTCTCTCCGCCCTCCCCTCTACCCCCAGGTCCATTCATTTCATTGTCATCATGTAGTGTACCTACAGCAACACCTGCTGGCAGTATTCTGGGAGCACTGCTGGAAAGACCCACTCATCTAACCTTCACACCAGTTACCATTAAGAAATGTCAAGCCATATTAATGAGCTGCCTCAATTTTTACCCCTTCTTGCCAAAAGGGCAAATGGTCCTTGGGCGACTTTTGATTTTTGGGTTTTTTTGGCAACTCAAGAATCCAGATAGCCTTTGTTCATTTAGTGCAGTTGGGATTTCTAACTCAAACTGTAGTGCCAATGAAGGAAACTACATAAAAATATCTGAGTGATGCTGGACCTACAAGGCTGGCTTGCAGGCATATTCTGGTTTTCTGCTTGATTCAAAAGAAAAGCCCCCAAAAAGAAATGGAGAGACAGATAAATGTTAGTATAGTAGCAACCTGTCTCTCTTTCCTAATTGTAGATTTTAATCCTACAAGCCACTTGCAGAGTGGCCCATTGCCATTTCATTATTCACCTAGTTGCGGCTGCATGATTTAGAGGCTATTTTAGAACCCTGAATTGTACACAAGCGTATTTGCATGTCTCAGTCCCTGCTTTGAAGAGCAGTCACTAGAAAACACATTGGCATGGACTGCTGTGCAAATCAGCTGGAATCTCATTCTGTTGTACCTTATTTTACTGTAATTGGAAAAAAAAAAGATGATGAGCCAGGAACTTATATTTAGAAGTTTTATGTTTCCACTTTTATGTAAATTGACCAATTAGGGACAGTCTTTCTGCTGCTACTAGCTCTAATGCTTATGTGTTGCTTGGGCAGGGGGGGAGCACTGTTTTCAATCATAATTGGTGAGCTGGTCAAAAAATAAAGTTCATTTGAGGAAAGGCTTCAGTTCAGAGTGGGGTAAAGAATTGCTTTCATGTTCTCCCCTTTATTTCTTAATGGTTGTTGACATATCTCTTGGAGCAAGATAACTATAAAAATACTTATACAACAGGGTCTGCCTTCAACACTGAGAATAAGAAAAGCAAGAGTGTTCATTTTCCTTAAGCTGTGTCTTACACTTTCTACCCATGCTATTAATTGATCGCTGTCTTTGAACAACAAGCTATTCTTTTAAGAGAGATATTTTTATGCCCATGGGTTTTTTTTAGCTGTAGCACATGCATGGCCATTTTCTGCTCAAAAATAAAGCCAGGAGATATGAATGTATAAAACAGGTGACATAAAAATGTTAGTTTGAGAAGAAATGATACAATATGTTCTTTTGCCAGTGTTGGCTTAAAACATCCCAAAGGGTGAAAGAAAAAAAATTATAGTATAAAAAGACTACAGAATTAAATCATGACTGTGGAAAGTAATCAGATGAACTTGGTGTTCACATTACCTACTTACCTACTGTGCTTTCTCTCTCTTATGGCAGGTAAGTCTCCAGTATGTTGCTGGGCTAATCATTTTTCCTGAAAAACAGCTCTGTAATGTGGAGAATGTATAGAGTGATATTTGTTTCAAAGATATTTCAAGAGACTGTGATTAGGGTCACATCAAATGGTTTAAATTAAACAGGGAGACTGGCAAACATTGCCAGTTTTCTGGAGCAAGCCTCAGCCTGCAGATCCTGTTTGGTTGCAAGTTAGGTGAAAAGTTTATAGCCAAAGGCTTGAGCAGCTTTTAACAGTTAAAGATATATTACAATTATTTTTTTAAAAGCTCATATTAATTTACCATATCATTTAAGACTCCAGACCTATCAAAGAAAACAGGGGCCAAACTCATTCTTTGTGTAATTCAACTCAAGCCAATGCAGCTACATTTGGGATAAATATGAGCCAAGTCACAATTAAAAAAAATGGAAATCCAATCGCCTCTTTTTCTTTGACAAATCTGGATCTCCATGTTCTGTAGCCCTTTTAAGACAGGTAATAGAATTGCAGCTCACAAAGCAGTGTTAATACATCTACCTACTGTGTTTTAGCTTGAAGAGCCCTAATCTCAACCCAATTAAATTCAGGATGTTTCAGGATACAATTTCAACTGGACCTGTGTTTGATTTATAGTAATAATATTAGTCCTTACTGGATTAAAAAAAAAAGAAAGTAAGAAACACAACATAGAGCTCAGGTCAAAGATATTAAACTTTTAGGCTCACCCTTCCCCTTACACCATAGCCTGTTGCTTTATGTGAGTCTTATGGGTCTTCACTGGTATGAACAAGGGTAGCTTGAATGACTTACTAGGGCAGCGATTCTCAATGAGGGTGCCATGGCACCCTGGGATGCCTTAAGATCCTTTCAAGAGCGCCACACAATGTTAACATTGTTAGATGTATAAACATGATTCACAAGATAACCTAACTGATTTCAAATTGAAATACATAGCATTACCAACATTTTAACCTGTTGTGGTCTTTGAGTTCCTTGCAACTGAAGACTTGCTGTATTTTTTTTCTGTAGTCCAAAAAATGAGTGAAAAGCAAGAGCTGGCATTTTCTTTGGGTTGTCTTGAGCCTGACAGATGTTCCTCAGAACTGGCAATGTAGAGAACTGCTCTCTTAGTCCATTTCACACCAGTTGAGGATTTGACTTGATATCTTGCTTTTACTTTTCAAGCAGTGCTGTCTATTATTAGTGATTAGTTGCTTGTTTTTCACACTAGGTCTCTGTTTTCATCTTTTTAAAAAATGGTCTGAATTCATCCCTGGTCTAACTCCACTGGTGGCAGAGATAAATTTTGTCTATTATGTTTTGGTACCTTTAAGTCTCACCAGTGTGGGATCTGAATGAAGCTTATAGGCTTTTCTATTTTGGGGGGCGAAATTCAATGATAAATTATGTTGACAGACTCATCACTGGTTTGTGGTAGTGTATAGGTGACCAGTAGAAGTTGTGGTGTCACACAGCAACCAGGATCCCTTCTCTATCAATGTGAACTATTGGGGACTAGCACAAATGGAAAGGTTAGCAGTGTTGGAAAA